GCAGTAATTGCTGTATCTTATAAATACCGCAAACTCCTGTGCATATGCTACCCCATCCGCTATTGCTCTCTTTCTATGTTTCTCTTAACAAAAACGCGACGGATATCGAAACGTCAGCCGAATAAAAGTATTGTCCCAGCGATCGAATCGTCTTCTTCTCAATTGAAATTTAATTGCGCTGGCACATTTGCCTGGTCATCTGGTGTGAGCGGTAATTGACAGCTGAAATTTGCGTCAGTCTGGGGTGGAAAAAAATAGTAGTTATTCAGAGTGAGCGCTTATTAGCAGTTGCGATTTATGTTAGTCCGAATTGATTGACTGTTGTCTCTTCCATCTTTTGGAGATGTTTCTACAGTTCATCCTACGCGGTATGTAGGTTGATGCACGAATTATTAGAATGACTGCTCTCGATAAATTATTGGCCTTTTTTAGAGGGGCAAACTCCGACGATGCGTGTCTTGTCTCATGCAAAAGTTTACCCTGTGTCAAGGCCATGCATAGCCATTTCGGACAAATGGTCACGTGTCTTCACTGTCAGTTGGTGCTCATGGGTGCTGACCGTTCTGTTTGTCCATAACTTAAAGTATCACGAGCCTCACGTTTTTGGCCCCTGATTAAAATTACGTGATTCTTTTTTCGGAATTGTTGTTGTTTCACGCATTGATGTACAAAGACTGTGGGGGTAACTATTGTGGGAAAACAAATCAAACAGATAATTTAGCTTTACACTGTAGGATTATTCTTCAGGGCCCTGTGTCTTCGCTCGGCGTAGCGGACTTTTCATGGCAATCCTTTTTTGACAGATGGGGTTATTGCTCTCATATTTTGGGATAACTCCCCTATACGTGTGTTTGCGGTCAACGGACGTAGTTAGTGTTCCAAAGCTATTTTACTTTACGAGAACATCCAGAAGTGGGCGTTTATTGTTCACCTCCTTCTCGAGCGAGAATTTATTTCCTGGAATGGTTGAATTGATGTTGTCGTGAAGAGTTTTTTTTTTCGTCTTTCTTAACGACAACAAATGTATTGTCTATATGTCGCACCTACAATAAAGGAATACCCAATGGACGAGCCGTCACTTCCTGCTTCTGTCTGGGTACTTCGGCAACGAATTCACATATACATGACCCGATTGGGCCTCCTTTTTACCATTGATAGTGCCGGTTGTCAACTAAAAAATGGATATTTAGAGAAATATTTTCAAGTTCAAGCAAGGCAACTGCAGAAACTTCCATTTCTTTACATTGCTGGGGATGCTTGCCTTTCAATTTATACGACTGTCATGTTTAGCCCTCACTTTTTGTAAAAGGCATCATCGAATGGAAGTCTTCACAGTAAAGTGATTTGTTAACGCTTCATGACAATATTCTAAGCTTAGGGATTTCAAACCGAAATAAGCCAATCATCATATTTTCGTTAATTTGGGAGTATTGCGTGGCTCCGCTCCGTCTTAAGAAGCTGAAAGGATTAGATTTCAGAATTTCCGTGTTTAGGGCATGGTTGATGCTACACTTGGGTCTAGGTATGACTAGCTGACGTCGACTTATAAGCAGAAATGACCATTCCAGTCTTCCCTGTCTTTGCCGGCTATAGTATTTACTGGAAAAAATGTCTCGAGCGGCCCTACAAAAACACCAATAGAAGTAAATATGCAAGTTCCAGGAAGTAGCTCAGAAGAAGACGATCCGATCACTAAAACAAGAATTTTATTTTGCTCTTGTTTGTGTCGACAATTCTTGATCATAGGAAATAATAGGAGGGTCTGAGACACGTTAGTTGACCACGTGAGAATTAGTCTTTGGCATTCTAGCGCCGTGACGCCGATCGGTGTTTTAACAATGGATTGGTAACAGCACCTGGTACAAGCGCAGGGGCTTACGTTGCGTAGACACACAACATGACAAAAATAAACGCGTCTGGTTGTGATGGAATGAATCCGACAAAGCAAAAGGACACCAGAATGGTCAAATTTGCCTTTTTAGTCGTCATCAGCCAATCACACCTTATTTCAAGAGTTTGAACCTCCGAAATTGGAAGCTGGGACTTGTAGTCATTGAGTTTGCCGCTCTATCATTGCACCACGGAATCTTTGGTTTTTCCGTTGTGATCGGGAATATGGTGGAACTGGCTTGATCGTCCGATCTATTTTATTGGGTAGCATACTTCTCTCTTTTTGGCTTTGTGGTTCTTACTTGAGTGATCGAGAATATATGCGCGTCGCCGATCTGGAAGAGGAATAATATATAGTTCCGCTTCGCTTGGAACTCACGATAAGAGGCCAGGTCTGATTAAAGTAGAGAAGCCTTCCGTGTCTTTAAACGGTTGGACGCGCTGCCTCGCTGCAGTTAGGTTGTCCTTTACTGAGAGTGTCCTACCGATGTTTGATTTTGAGAATCATCGGTTCATAACATGTATGCATGCTTTCCAGGGGCAAAGATGGGTGGCTAGTTTGATTTTATTAGAAGGATATTGTGGATCACGTCCCCTGCTGCACATGTTCAAGCTGTTTTTACTAAAATGTTAACAGTCGTTTGTGTTCGCGCGTGTAATACCAGCTGGTTTGGATATGGCCGTTATAGCAAAAACTAGCAAGTGTTCGAGGCGTAAAAGTGTTCCTCACAAGTTAAATTAATTGAAAACAAACACTTCTGGATATTCCTGTAGACTGGAAATCAGGAATTCCAAGAAATTTAACTTGAAGAAAAAAATCTATAGTCACTGCCAATCAGCTTTCAATCCATGTGACGAGCTGAGGGACTAGTGTCGATAATTTACTGGCAAAAATGTATTGTAGAGCCCCCTAAATGCATATAGTATGGCTAGCCCTGCAAGCAGCTTGCCTGAGTGTGTATTTTTTTGATTATTTCTTGCATACCAGCAAGAACAAATTTACGAAATCTTATAAATAATAATGAGCAGCATTAGGCATTTTAAGTAATTAAAGGATCTATAAAAAGTACTGAGAAATGTTTAAGAAAAATATAAAAAAGTCTGATAAACCCCAAGTTCCGGAGATGTAAAAAATTGCTATAGATTAGAAAAATAAATTTTTATATTGTATTAAGTTAAAAAGGAATGGAAGCAA